GCTCCCACATCAGGCACAAACAGCAGCAGAGACTTTGGCCTACACTGGAGCCCCTCCTAAGACATTCCAGAACTAACACATCTGGTGGTTAGCTTTAGACCACATCACACTACCTCCTAACCAGTTCCACAAGTGACACACCTGAAAGTTGGACTTAGTTGGCACCAAAGCCCTACTAAAGCAACTTCCACTCAGTGGGATCGGCCCCCACATAACGGCTAGTCACAGCCACCTCACAGCTAGTCAGCTGGAGGGTCAATCCCACCCACAGACACACCAATAGCAATCAAGGCTCAACTGCAGCTGGAGGGCACACACGCCCTACACAAAGGAGTGTTCTGGAACACCAGGCTCAGGTGACCAGAGAGACAGCCACTGGGCCTCTCAAGACCTCTACTAAGTAAGGCTACTCTATCTAGACTAGAAGATGTGGCAGATGGACCTAACAAACGCAGTCAGTCAAAATGAAAAGATGAAGAATGTCCCAAATGAAGGACATTAGATGAATTTAGGGGAAGAATAGGCGAACTTGGTGAGAACCACCAAGAGAAACCATAAAAATTAAGAATACATGAAAGGGAATCAACAGCAGATTAGATGAAGCATAGGACCGAGTCAGAGCTAGAAGACAAGGTAGCAGAAAACATCCAATCGGAACAGGGGAAAAAGGTAGTTTAAGGGACCTTTGGGACAAGATCAAGCCCAAATACATGATTAAAAAGGTTAGTTACTTCAGAAGAATTCTTAAGTGACACAGGATTCTGATAGGTTCTTGCTCCAAAGTGGAGCCACTGCCCACTAATCCATCACAGCACTGTCGAAGGTCACCGAGACCCCCCTTGCTGCTTCTGCAGCCTAAGGCAGTGGAGACATTCACAATGGCTGAAGGCTGGATCCATCAGGGCTGGAGCAGGTGGGGAGGGGCCGGCAGACCTGATTCTGCCTACACCCTGCCAAACTCCGGGTGCTCCAAGCGTACCTCACAGCCCAGCTTTAGAATGGATACACCATTGCATATGCCCTGCACACTTCCAAATTTTTCACAATTTACCTTTAAGTTAAATAATTTTTAAAATAGCCAATACTGCTTTACTGTTGTCATTGCAGGGCTAGTGGGTGTTTGTGTCACAGATTTTGATGAGTATTTGTAAAAATGTACAAAGGGAATATTTTTAAAATATTAAACTTGAGTTATTAAGCACCTATTAAGCAAAGCAGTACAAATTTCCTAAATTATATATAATTTTTGCTAATAAAATTGGGATACCATTTAAAGAACAAATTCTGATTAGAAGATGGTATTTTAAAAATTATAGTTTCACATGTATATTCTATACACAGTGACAAATTCCAAAACTGCTGCTTTCAGGAATTGAAACTACCACCACTCCCTCACTGCCAATGCAGAAGTGCTAAAGTGCTTGACAAATCACGGATTTGGAAAGTTTTTTTGTCTGTTTTTTGTCTGTTTTTAAGGGCATAGACATTTAGACTCTAAAACCAAAGATGGTAGTTAGAGAAGTTTCTAAAGTTCAGTTACATGCAAACAAACAAAAAGCTATACACTTCCATCCACGGGTTTATTCCCCGGATGGTCCTATTCTAGTTAACTCCCTACCTCCCACACGAAGCAGCAGCATGCTGCTGCTTGGGAATGGCTGATTTCCAGTTGATCACACCCACCTCATACTCACTCCTACCTCAACAGATCCTGGAATCCACGCCAAGGAGGCTCTCTGGGCGTTCACCCTGCAAAGCCACGCACATTTTAGCTCAGCTGTGGAAAGAAACCTAGATTCAGAAGTGACACTTCTAAGAGTTTAAAAAACAAAAACGTCAGCTATAGAGAAACCATTTGTTTTTAGTTCTCACCTGAGGATGTTTTTCCCATTGCTTCTCAGAGTGGAAGGGGGAGAGAAACATCAATATGACACACATTGATTGGTTACCTCCCGCACGTGCCCCTTGCCCTTGGCCAGAATCGAACCTGGGACCCTTCAGTCCTCAAGCCAACGCTCTAACCACTGAGCCAAACCGGCCAGGACGGGAAATCATCTGCACTCATTAACGTCTCGTGATAAAAGGAACTTGACAATGTTAGCACACCACTATGGAGTGATGGGGTTCTAAGCTTGTCTATCTTAAGGACCTTTGAGGATCAATGCTCTACAAATCCTAAGTCTTACTGTGGCTGACCCACAGCACCTTTGATAATTTTAGACCTCCCTCCTCTCAGGTGTCTTCCTGTCTGCTTTTCTGCCTGCATTCTGAAAACCAGAACTGCATATATTGTCCCATGGGCTTAGTTTGGGCTCAAAAGTTCTTGCCACAAAGAGAGATCATGTTGGGATTAAACGTAGTGCAAACTCTTGATTCCCAGGCAGCTCTCTCAAAGCCCATGGAGACAAGGTAGAGGTACTATAGAACGAGCGAGCTCTCGGAGGACCGCTACAGGGCTGTTCAGAGGCAAACCTGGTTTGAAAACTTGCCCTCAGAACATTGAAGCACGTCCTGTCTGGACATCTTTCCAAAGCAGCCAGAGAGGCATCACCTTTGAAAAACCTCTTATCAAAGGAACCCGGAAATCATAACTACATCCCTGATGTTAAGTGGAAATTTTCCCCTTTTGGAGTGCTGTCAATGAGGGCCAACTGGAAACAGCCACTGGAAGTTCTGAATTACTTTTAAGACTTCTGTCCTGTCACCAGTGTGCATACCGTGAGGCAGAGGCAGAGGCAATGCACCCACAAAAGACACTTTAGAACACCGGGCATGTGTGGTAGTTGGCAAGTGGAGGAGGTGGCTGGCAAGGCTGGGAGATCGGCTACAATCTCCATGCTGAAGAAAGTACTAAAAACAGAAGGAGAAGGCTGTGAAGAACCCAGAGTTGCAGGAGGTATCAGTATAAATTCATGGCTTTTAAATATATTGTGTGATATACACACACGTATATCATACATACATACTTCCTAGCTGGCTGGCTCAAAGGGCCTGGGAACACCACCCCAGTAGCGATGAGTTCTCGGAGCACCCAGATCTTGGTTTCTAAATGCTGTCATTAAAAGGGACCAGCTCCTTGGAGGAAAAGCTGAATCTAGGATTGGGGAAGGGAAAATGTCTTCCTCTTACAGCCTTTATGCCTGCAGTGTTGAACCCTTCTACTCGTGTGTTTTACCATAACCGCCTTACCACTTTTGGTTATTCTCACAATCTGATCCATAGGCTGGTTTTATAGTAAAAAAACCTTTTTGAGCACCTTCAAAAATTGAGAAAACCACCAGCCCCCTCCTCAGCCAGGCTAGAAAGCAATGCCTCACCTTTACTCCTCTGAGTGTAAGAACACCTGAGAAAGTGAAGACTTGTGGTGTCAGGACGTCTCCTCCAGGCCATCCTTGGGTAACAAGGTCAGGTTCAGATGAGACGCATCTCCCTTCACCTGGTGCCCACATGCCTCTCTGGCAGTGATGCCCCCCCACACGGTGCTTCTGTGCCCTCACATCTTCCCTTCTTTAGTTACTGCTCAACAGGACCAAAGTATTCATTAGTAGCTGTTTATTGATCAGTGGTTTGATATAAAGTTATTTCAGATCTTTAGAATCTTGCCCAAATGGAATCACAAGCATTACAAAGTTGTTGTTTTCCCTTAAAAAAAGGATAGGGGGCAGGTTGGGAGGGGACCCAACCTAGCAGTAGTGACATCTGAGAATAAATTAACGAAAAAAATTTAGTATTACCATTTATTGGTGACAAACACTAAATTTTACTTACATTCCATAGGGGGGAAAATTCCAGCATAAACAATGAATCAAAGCAGTACTTAACTTGCAAGGCTACCGTGCTTTCCATCTGGACCATGTGCAGGACCTTACTGCACACATTTCTGTGCACAGTAACACATCAAAAGCAACACAGTTTTAGAGATATAAACACAGATAGGTCATTCTTTTCAGCCCTACATGGAGATGTAATCAACAGTATAAAGCACTCAATAAAACCAATCTGCAGTTTTATATGTACTACATGGAGATCATATCCTGTAGTGTAGTGAAAGCTATGTGTCCTCAAGAGCCATATGTATGTATATACACAAACAATTTAATAACAAAGATCAAAGTTCATTTAAGTCCTGTTGCATTAACAAAAATGAAATAGCAAAGGAGCCAAATGATTGTTTAAAGTTTAAAATTCCTAAACTGTCCAATTTATACAACTGTAGGAGACTTCATTAAGATTTCTGAGAAGTCCAGGACTGTTTCAGCTAAACCAGAGGGCACACAATTTCCATCACTGAAATGGGTCCTGTGTTAGTCCAATAAAATAAAAATGTATAACCATATACACATAGATTTAATCTTTGCCGGTTNATAAAAATGTATAACCATATACACATGGATTTAATCTTTGCCGGTTAGATTACTGATAAAGTCAGTCTCAGAAAAGTTTCTAAACTGCTATGTAACTAGATACAATTGAGAAACTCAAATGAAAATTTATATAGTGTCATTTCAATCAAAAGAAAAGAATATGTATCTTCTTAGGAAGAGAAAGCAGTGGTGGTGGGTACCACGGGAGGTGGTGGGCATAGCACGCTAGAAAGGTTAGCTTGCGCTGAGTAGGAAGCATTTCATTTTTCTCTAGTGCTTTCAGCTCTGGGCCGGATGGTCTAAGGCCTCTCTCCGGCGTGGGCGTCCAGGATTTGTCCCAAAGTGTTTGAGTGAGCCAGTTTGCTTTCTGCTTTCTCTTCTTTCACACAGCAAAAATTATAAACAAAAAACCCCAAAACCAAGCAGCGAGGTGCCCAGGGCATAGATCTGCTGGTTTCCCAATTGAGCCAGAGCTGGTTGGCAGGCCCCACCTTTCCCTGCAGCAGCTGCTGCTGTGTGGGGACAAACCATAGCACATGCGAGCACAGCCACGGCAGCCTCCTTGCATTCTTGCCTTCGTCACCACTGCTGTTTCCAGTTCTTTACCCATCATGTCTCTCGGCCCACTGNCAGCCTCCTTGCATTCTTGCCTTCGTCACCACTGCTGTTTCCAGTTCTTTACCCATCATGTCTCTCGGCACACTAGAGGTATCAGAAATTCCAAATTTTCAAAGCAGTTTCAGTATTTTCAGTATATGTTGGGGATTTTACAATGGTTCATGGCCAGAAGGGGTTCAGCACCTCCCACACCTTTAAGGAAGAAAAAAATGAAAATGGCTAGTAGTTTTGAAATTTAAGAGAATTACACTCATGTTAAAAAAAAAAAAATTTAAAAATCACAGGCAGTGAGAAGCAGGCGAGCACAGGCCCCATTTATGATAACTGGATTATATAGTAAAGTTTCCACAGGATACACTGTCAAGTGAAAAAAGCAAGGAGGAGAATGAATGCACATTATGTGGTGTGGGGGGAATAAGGAAGTATATAATTATATTTGCATGAAGAGAAAGTATCCACACATAAGAAACGAATAAAAATGTGGCTTCTGGGTAGAGGGTGGGGAGAAAGATGCATGGGGATGGCATGAGGGCAAGATTTATTTATCACAGCAAACCTTTTAAAATTATTTTGATTTTGGAATCATGTGAATGTATTAACTATTCAAAATTAAATAAACAAAAAAGTGGAGCTCCCTGCCCTAGACTTGGAAAGCTTTCCAGAGAACAGGACAGGAAGGGACTGAGGCAAATGTTTCACTACTGAGTTGAGCAGACAATATGTACTTAATGCAAACAATGAAGAGAACTGCTTGTCATGTAAATCCCCTCACTCACACAGACATTGGTCCATTTCCTGTTCTTGGCATCTCTGCACTTTGTTGGTCCATCTCAGACAGCAGCTTTAAAATGTTCAGTGCAGCCTAGCAGGAAATAAAAAGAAAAGTCTGACCACAGCACAAGACGCTGATTAGGGAGGGGAGGGATTCTCCTACTGCCCAACAAAGCAGGTGGTCCCACTAAATAACTGTTTTCCTTAATGTTTGAAGTTTTCATTTAAATTTGTATCATTAAATCACCTGTTAATTTTATATATTTCCTTCTAGTATTTTTAACCTTGTGGCTACTGGACTCTACAAATTTTCTATCCTGCTTTAAAATGAAAACCAATCATGTTTCCTTGTTAGCCTACATTATCTTTGGAGACGTTAATCTGATGGATGCATTATACTCCATCGGGGATATGCCAAAGTTTATGTAGACTAATCAATTTCTTTTCCGTTTTAGTATTTCTTACACAAAAAGGTCATCTGAACAGAATACTAAAGTAAGGGACTTTCTACAGCTGCCAGAACTTGGGCCTGCAATTCCTGCTTCTGGTAAGAGGTGGACTGAATACGGTATCTGGAGGAGTTCCAGGATCCAAGGTCGACAAGGGAAGGGTTGGCTAACGCTGATGAGTTCTCATAAACAGAACGTGAAATCAATTCAGTAAACTAAGAAAAGTCATCAGAAATATGAATATATAAATCATCTATCTAAAGTCTGTTGGAGACCCCTTTACCTGTCTTCCTGAGGCCAGCAACAGGCTGGAACCAGGCCCACTGTGTGGGAGAACGTACCATGTCATGGCAGGACTCCAAATCCTTTCCAATGCCGTGGCTGATCAGAGGTGGCTGAGAGGAGCAATTGATAAGAGACACAAATTCGTTCTTGTTGTTTTTAGGGAAGTCTTTGTATTCAACCTAAGAGGGAAAAGAAAACCGAGGCAAGGGTAGGGAAGTAGTGGATATGAATGGGGCATGGAACTGTGGCTCTGGGCCCAGGGAAAAGGGAAATAACATTTCTCTCCCCCCAGTCTCAGCCTGACATGCTCAGTCAGCACAAAAGAATGCCAGAGGGGCCTGCTGCTGAGGGGCGCCTGGGCTGTAGGAAGATCATGGCCACAGCTTCCAGGCACCTAGATGTCTACTTAAAAGCCCCAGTCTGAAAGAAGCCATGTCCTTTCCTACCAGGCAGAAAGGGCCAGCACAATGAATGAGTTCTCACTGAAATCTAAACATATAACTACCATTAGGTCAGAGGCTTTGTTATTACCACGGTTGGCTTGGAGAGTTAAAATTTTATTACCAGAAGTCAAGGATTTTCTCTTACCATACAGGCTTGTAATACTTTCCATACCTCTCTACCCTTCCTCAGGATGACCCTTTTACCATGCTTGCCTCACCCATCGCCCTAGTCAAATAACTTGATTTAGGGAACTAGGTGCAGCCCTGGCCGGTGTGGCTCGGTTGGGTGTCATCCAGTGCACCAAAAGGCGGCCAGTTTGACTCCTGGTCAGGGCACATGCCTGGGTTGGGGGCTCCATCCCCAGTAGGGGGCGTGGAGGAGGAAGCCGATCAATGTTTGGCTCTCACATCCATGTTTTTCTCTCTCCCTCTCCCTTCCTCCCTAAAACTCAATAAAAAATCCTAAAAAACCCCAAAATACAGGAACAAAGTGCAAAGCTTGTTTTCTGAGAGAAACCCAAAGATGACTGCACTGAGGTACAGACCACACAGCTCAGGTCTAGCAGTTACCTGGAATCCCTGGACTCTGGAAAGATAGTCCAGCTGCTCAGAGGGTCTTGTAAGAGGTCCATGGGGTACGTGGCCTGAAGAGATGTTATTCTTTAAAATGGTCTCCGCTGTGGGCGAGGTGCCCCCATACAACAATTCACGGGCTATCATGGCAGTTACTGTGGCCTTGGCAGGATTCGGAGCTGCCCGGGTAAAATCTTTGGTGTGATGTCCTTGACTGACTCCTACAGCCTGGGCAACCTCAGGCACCATGGGAAGAATTCCAGCAGGCAGCTGCTGATGACTAAGATAAGGCATCCTAAACTCGTCCTCTTTATTGCCTAGGATGGAACACGCAGACAAATCAACACAAGTGCACACACACTGCCTGCCTGGAAAGACATTACAAAACCCCACACCGGCCCACCCTCAGTGCACACATGGGCAGGCAGATGATGCAGAGCCGAACACATCGTAATTCGTTCACTGGGCACCTGCTATTACCAGGAACCACTTAAATCCCAGAATCACATTCAGATCAAAACAATATTAACATCATACTTACTAGTCCCATTTTCATCCCCACAGCCAGGTTCAAAAAAGGTTACTTTTCTTCCATCCCCTGGTTTCTTTATGGGCGTCTTTAAAAAAAAAAAAAAAAAAAAAAAGGCTATGAGTATAAATCAAACTGATGAAAACTTAGTTCCTACTGTCTAAAATAACTACAAACTCCAATTAGCATTAATCTTCGGTTTTTACACTTTTGAAATATGAGGAGGCAATCAGCAGGAAGCCCTCTTCCCAAAGCCTGACATTGGTTTGCTTCTGCCACCCAGTAAGCCCTAAGGCAAAGGCTGTGCTCTTTCCCAGTGTACAGGCCCACCCATGCCAGCCTGTCCACGAAAGCATCTAATGGTGCACCCGACTGAATGCTGAGCGTCCGTCTGCATTCACAGGAAGAGAGGGGAATATTAAATTAGAAGGAGCCAGATGATACAAGATTGGTAGAGCCCAAGGTGGGGGAAAATGCTTTTAAGACTGAAACTAAACAATATTTCTTGGAACTAATATCCAACTAAGAAATAAGGTGACATTTCCACAGATGACAAACTCAGGGGGAAATGTTACTAGATAAAAATTTTGTCAAACACAAGGTCTCCTTTCTGAGAAGGTAAGAATGCCTATGAATGCTCTACAAGATTTTGGAATGAAAAACCAAAAATCCAAGTTCAGGATCTACACAGATTCTCTGACGAGTGTTTGGGGTCCCAATTATTAACTATGTGGCCACACTGAGTGCCATTTCTCACCACAGATATTACTGGCAGAGGTGAGAGGTGAATGAATCAGTCCTGGGTGTTTCAAGTTCATTCCAACAGGAGCATTCAGTGATTGGGGACAAAGTCAGTCAAAGCTTTTATTAAGGGTATTGCTTAACGGTCTTGGCAGAAGTAAAATTTTCAATATGGGATTATTTTTACCTAGTGTTATATTTATAAAGAAATAAGTAATCTTAAGTCTAAACTATGGATTTGGCCCTAATTCTAAAACCACACTATCTCAGTGTCCCAGAAAACTCAAAGCCTGCTCCACAACTCAGGAGAGCCCAGGCTGATGCATCTTTTATGCAGGCCTCATTCTAAGAGCACAAATGATGGAATCACACATTCATTAATTTCAAGCCCAATTACCCAGCAACCTAGTAATGGAGGAGCAAGCTGCCCTCCAGCAAAGCATCCTAGACCACAAAGATACTGAACAATAACGTGACCCAGAGCCATCCTTCTGGCCGTGGCCATGGCACTTCATCATGGTCTGAGCTGAGAAGACGCTGCTTGGCAGGCTTTACAACCAGGAGCATGAAGTCTTGCCCTGAAGCTTGGCCCTGGAGATGTCCAAGTCCCCCAGGTTCAGGGGAGAAGGTCATCTTGCAATTAGACAGCAAGAACACAGAGCCCTGAGCAGTCACCTTCTCCTCTGATTTGAGGGCTGGTTTCGTGGGCTGAGCCTGCGGGACTTTGAAACCAAGAATCTCCAGCATGTTCTCGGCTGCGTTGCGTTTGGCCACCTTCTTATTGGTGCCCGTTCCCTCCGCGGTATGGTTTCCCACCTTCACCTGAATAAAGAAGGCAGAACTCGTATCAGTGCTTAAACCTTCAGAGTAAAGACCTGTCAGGAAATGATGTGCTGGCCAAAGAATCCAGCAAAGGTCAGAAGCCAGACGGCTTACCAGTGGTACCTGGGAGCTGGCTTGCACCAGCCTATGAGAGCAGACTGATAAATATACAGGAATTGGGAGAGCTTGTTGTTAAAGGCAGCCATTATCAAACAGCGTATTATATATGCTTATAGTTAAATAAATTATTTTAACAAATAGGCAATGAATACTTAAGACTCATCACTTCCTAATTTGACATTTTACAGTTATCTACACTTTTGAAGTTCTTTACATCTGTTGTATTTGAATATTTTTACTGATTTTGAGAGAGAGAAAGGAGAGGGGGAGAGAGAGAGATCGACGTGAGAGAGAAACATTGACTGGCTGCCTCCTATACACCTCCTACTGGGGATCGAGCCTGAAACGCAGGCATGTGCCCTGACCAGGAATCAAACCAGCAACTTTTTGGTGCACAGGATGACACCCAACCAACTGAGCCACACCGGCCAGGGCACATCTGTTGTATTTGTATGGTGGAAATATTATATAATTGTGCGCTGCTGCTCATCTCTTCGGGACTCCATAACCAAGTGTGGAAACAGCCATGACTGGGGTTTTACACCACCAAAATCTGCAAATACTACAAAGCAAGAAAGAACTAAGTTGTTTTGTTAAATGTTTATTCTAGACTTGAGTGACAGAGAAAAGGTTAATAATGCAGATTAAGTTTCAAAGCATGTCAAGTCTCAGCCATGACACTGTAACTAGTACAAAACACTTAAAATTCTTCCAGTCTGGGAAAATTATTATCTGACTGAGCAAAGAAGTCACTCATATTGTTTACAAATAAGAGAAGTTTCAACATGTCTTTATTGTTTCACTTTCATCTCACTGTTAATGTGAACAAAAATACCAACCAATACTCATGCTAGAACTACTCATTTGTCAGTGACATGAGCAGCCTGGAAAATACAAGCATTAATCTATAGTCTGATTTTATAACACTACTGTTACTGACAGTCTAACTGGAGTTAACAATGCATAAAATTTACAATAGAGTATTATACATTTGTAATATATTACTTGTAAATTGTGTGCTGCACATCCTTTCTTATCAGTGAAATTTATAAAACATTTATGTATGTATATACAGGGTTGGGCAAAAGTAGGTTTACAGTTGTTCATGTGGAAAATAGTACAATAAATAATACAAGAATAAACTGTTTTGTGTACTCACAACTGCAAACCTATTTTCCATATGAACTGTAAACTACTTTTGCCCCACCCTGTATGTGTGTAGGTCCACACACACGTACCCCCTCCACCACACTCACTACCTTTGCCTAAAAGCCAGTTGTTAAACATATTCCAGGACAACCACAACCTACAATCCCCTTCCAAGCTGGTCTGACCTAAACCAAAAGCCCCATGTCACAAAACAGAGGAGTCAAGAAAGCCTTCCCTGGCCTGTGAAGATGGGCCTGGGGTTGAATCCCAAATAGCCATCTACCAGCCATTTAACCTTGCTGATCCTCTCAGCAAGCTGGTTTTCTCTTCTAGAAAAAATTGATCATTACTCTTCTTGCTTTCTGACTGGGTAGGTGAAAAACATCAGGCTAAGTGACAATGCTTTAAGTTGTAAATTGCTACACAAGAGCTAAGTATCCTGCCCGGCCGAGCATGGCTCAGCAGATGAGAATCGATCTAGGATCCAGGGGATCATGGGTTCAATTCCTGGTCAGGGCACATGCCCGGGTTGTGGGCTCAATCCCCAACCAGGGGCGTGCAGGAGGCAGCCGATCAATAACGACTCTCTCATCACTGATGTTTCAATTCTCTCTCTTCCTCTCCCTTCCTCTCTCTGAAACCAATAGAGATAAATTAAAAAATAAAAATAAAAAAAAAGTTAAGTATCCTGATTTTCACAGAAAACGCTATTAAATGTAAATCACAAATTAAGGTGCCTAAGTAAATATCTGCTTAATAAGCTAAGTACAAGAAGAAACCCTCTGTACTAATCTGAAGTGCTAATTATAACTGCAATATAAGGAAAAGCAACCTGGACTCCAGACTCTACAGAAGGATTAGGAAGAGCCAGGAAGAGATCATTTGATTTAACTTATAAAATTTGTCTTCTGAAAAGAATATAAACCTTCAGGTAGATGTAATGAAGAAAAAAATACACCCACAATCCTACTACCCCAGTGCTCTTCTAACCTGGTGCATTATGTCCAAGCTCCTACCTGCTGACAGTAGCACCTGTGGTATATGGAGAAATGCTTTAAGGCACCAAATTACTGCAAGCAACATGGTCTTAATATGGATAATGTTGACGGCAGGGAGTGGCCCACTGGACCTGGGATCTCCTCAGGCTCTGAGACAGGAGGAGGTCAGAGAAGTGCCCTCCACAAGCCACACTGACCCACCTGCATCACAAACTCCCTGCGGCGCGGGAGGCCTCGCTCTGTGAGGAGTATGTACTCCGGCTCCTTCTCCTTTTTCGCCTGCTGGATCTGGGCCAGTCTGCTAATTGGGTTCATCAGCTGGCCATGTTCTGGGCTGCTCTGTACCTGAGGAACAATTATTGCAGAAACCGTGTGCCATGTTAGTCACAGAAAGGACCTTGCCAATTCAGAGATCAGGACATGACAAAAGTTACTTTTATATTGATCTAATGGCTCAGAATTAATCTGCTATTTTTAAAATATTTTTAAATTGAAAGATGTTTAATGTTTTTCTGATTGTTCTAAAGTGGTTTTAAGGTTTTCTCAGCAAACCAACATCAGCATTTCACTGAGTAGGCAAGCATCATTGTAATGTCTGCTTTTTGACAATTTCAATAAGTTAGAAAGAATGAAAAGGTAGAAAAAAATAACACTATTCCAACAATTTCCCAAAACTCTGTATTATAAGATGGGCTCCCAGCTTTCTTAACAATGACTCAAAATCCAGAAACCATTAAAAGTATACTAAAAAAAAAAACAAAAAAATTCAAGCTGATGCCACATAGAAAGAACCTAAGAACCCCACAGTGGACATCTTCAGCGCCAAAGAGTCCTCACCCACTATGACAGGGAGTGACTTCCAGGATATACTAAGCAAAAAAAGGAAACTGCAAAACTATGCTAACTTTTCTATGTATAGTATGCTAATCTGTGTGTAAGAAAAATTTGGATCTTCATACAGCATGAAACTATAATGACAACCTTAACTGACATTCATCAGCATCCCGACATGGAATCCTGTCCCTTCTTTGGAGGTGAGGAGGGGGAAGCAGTATAATTTTTACTAGATCCATTGGCATGACTCAAAACTCCAAAACAAGGTGTATAGTGAGATGTCTCGCTCCTACACCTGCCCTTGGCCAGCCTGCCTCCCATGAATCTCCTTCATGATGGAACACTGCAGCAGTCCACTAGAGGAAGCTCGGTTCACCGCTCTCCCCACGGGTAGGCACTGACTGACTGCCACTGTGATCACAGGGCTGCGAGGACACCCACATCCAACAGACATGTGTGTGCCTGCAGGTACCTCCGCTAAACCTGGCTGTGTCCTTACCTGCCTAACCTGGGACTCCCAGGAGAACTACACAAGGTGTCCCCGGTAAAGGGTTCCCTGGGCCTGGCATGTGCATGTTAGCTCCCTCTCCCCCTTCCACTAGGGTCAGCAGCCAGCCTTCTCAGCTCCCCAACTGTCCGCGGGCAATGAAACCACCCTCTTCATTCATAAAAGCACTTACCCTAACTATGGGTTTTGTTTTCTTTTTGATTCGGGGCTTCACCCGCTCAACTGCAGGCAGGGGTGGTAACTTCTTCAGCTCCTCAAGAATAGCTATAGCAGCATTTTTTTTTGAAATCTTCTTGCTCTTGCCTTCACCTTCCCCGACAAACTCCCCAACCGATACCTTGGTCACAAAGCTCTTCATGTGGGGTGGGCCAGTCTCCCGGGCAACCTGTTTCAGAGGGAAAGACTGAGTGAAAGTGTGACAGACACTTATTACAAGCTGTAGGGCACACTGGTCAGCATGCTACTTTACACGAGACACAGATAAAGGGAAATTAAGGACAAAATCCATTAAGTGAAGGGAGTATAAATGTTGGTAAAAGGAAACAGTGAACATGCTGAATACTTTTTTTCCCTTTTTCTTATTTTTCAAATATGTTAATGCCCTGAGGTCTGATGAGTCCAAAACAGTGAGGCATAGAAAAGGGAAACATTTTCTATTACCACCCTCCCATAAGAATGGCTCACATCTCCTCAGGGTCACAGAATGTCCTGAGTTTAGGGTGATCCACCACAAACAGCATTAAAGGAAGCTGGCGCAGCAAAGCCTAGAAATAACTCAGAGTTCAAGTTTAACATTTGCTGAGCCTCCAGCCAGGATTGACCGTATTAACTACTGGCTGCTATGCAGCTGTAAGAAGGATGAGAAAATCTCTGCTGAGAGATATTAAAATCTAATGGCTCAGTGAGTAAAAAAAGCAAACTACAGAAGAGTTTATGTGGTCCCCTAACTTCTGTTGTTAAAAAAAAGGGGGCTACATATACACATGTATGTACAGACATGTGTTTATATGGTGACTTTTTTAATAAATAAACACACAAAAACCCATAAAAAAAACAGGAAGGCTAAAGCAAAATGCAATGGAATTACTTCCCTACAGCAGGTGGGAAGGACTGAGGGAGAGAGAGGACAAGGTGACACTTCTGAATGTGTCTTTTTGCCCAGTTTTGACTTCTGGAACCATTTAGTGTTTTAAATATTAAAAATATAAAAATAAGTAAACAAAGACAGAAAAAAACAGTAAAAGGGAATATGAACAGAAACCTAACTGCATATTAAAGTGATTACATGCTTACACAGAAGGAAAATAAAAATCAAATCCTACCTTCATCAGCCCAGATACCCATGGAAAGAAAGAACTAAGAAAACTTACACTACCAGATTTCAAGACTTCCTATAAAGTTACAGCACCCACGGCATCATATTGTTGAAGGACAAACCGATCAATGAAACAGACAGAATGCAGAAACAGGTCTATACATATACATATAGTCACTTGATTTTTGGCAAACACACCAAAGCAAATCCAAAGTCGTCTTTAAAAACATGGTATTGAAGCAACTAGATTTCCACATGAGAAAAAAGTGAACCATAATCTCAAACTCAACCAACAAACATTAACTAGTGCTAGAACACAGACCTAAACATGAAAGTTAAAACTATACAGCTCTCTGCCCTGACCAGTGTGGCTCAGTGCTTAGAGTATCAGACCGAGTACCAAAGGGCCGTGGGTTTGGTTCCTGGTCAAGGGACGTACCTGGGCTGCAGGTTCAATCCCTGGCCTAGGTTCAGGTCCAGGCGTGAGTGCGGGAGGCCACCAACTGATGTGTCTTTCTCACATCAATGTTTCTCTCCCCTACCCCCCCCCAATGCCTCTCTGCCTCCCTTCCACTTTCTCTAAAAAAAAACTATGCAGCTTTCAGAAAACATGAGAATTCATGACCATAAAGTTAGCAAAGAGTTCTAGAACACAAAAACCACCAACCATAAAGAAAATAAAATCTCAAAATTAAAAACTGTTCATTAAAAAACATTTAAAAAGTGAAAAGGGGGACCTACCAAATGACAGTGAATATTTGCAATATATATATCTGACAAAGGATTGATATTCAGAATATTTAAAGAACTCCTACAAGTTAATAATAAAAAGACAAACTACTCAATTAAAGAAATGCTTGAAAGGGTACTTCACCAAGTAAGAACTCTAAATGGCCAATAAGCATATAGTAGAGTGTTCACCATCAGCGCTGTGCTGAGACAGGAACGAGAGGCACCTCAACAGAGGCCTTGATGGCTCTACACAGGAAGAGGTGTGCTGGGAAGGGCCCAGCTTGCACAGTCCCTGCAGACTGATTTTAGAGAGCTCCCCCAGGTTGCCTCCGCCACCACACTTTCCCCACCAAAACCCTAGATTATGAAATGCTCCCTCCCTGAACAGTGCTCTCCACGTCCTCAGAACAGCCACCCTGATGGCTCACATCAAATTCACAGCTCCAAACTGGCCCCTCAGCAACCATTTTCACTGTCTATTCACATCATGATCCCACCAATCTACACTTGGAGTTTGACCTAGAATGTATTTACTGTGATAAAGTCACAACTGCCTCTTAGTGATTTTCTAACTAAAATTATGTATTTTATCAAAAAATCAAGGTGTATATGTTTTCTGAGGAACTGTATGCATGGCTTGTCTTCTACCAAACACCTAACAAAGCTTCCTATGTGACAGGCTTCACTATCAAAAACTTAGCTAAGAAAAACTACTCTGTTCATTTAGTAACTATTGGCTGAGTATATATGCCAGGTAATCTTCTTAGTGCAAGAGGACAGAACTGTTAGGGAAAGTGGAAGCCTCTGTCAACCTAATAGAAGTTAATATGAACCTCTGATATATGAGTTATTTAATATAAATACATCAACAAACTCAATGCCACAAACTGTAATATTTTAAATTACTTTAAAAGATATTCACCACCACAGGGCACTCCCATAATTTCTCCTGTGACTACTTGACAACTCCTGGCTATAGTTACATGTCCCTGCACACATGTTGGAAAGCCAAATCTGAAACCTAAACAGAAGCGGAAGTAGGACAAAAGCAATCTGGTCCCCAAATCCCACAGAGCCAAACCTAAAATGGCAATCCCTCACAAAGGTTCCAGAAAGCTTTGTGACTCTCAGGCAGGGCAACTAGTATGAGCAAGTGACAAGCTTCACGGGGATCCAGGGCCCTGGCCCAAGCAGTCATTTCTGTAACCCTGAGGTGACCCAGGAAGCCAGACATCTCTGACTCTCACAATCTTGGTACCACTCCCACCAATCTTCACAAATCCATTCTCATGCCACTCTAGTCCCTCAGGAGGCAGAGAGGAGGAACATTTCTTCCTTTTCCTGCAATAGGTGCCCAGGGATATCTTGGGGCTTTGGGGTGAAGCTCCCACCTAGTTCCCACCCAACAACTAGTCTTGTCACTCTGTATGTCCCCTGTCTCAGTGCCTCCCCAATCCCTATTTCCTACCCCCAACAGAGGGAGAAAAGCTGGAAGGAATGAGGGCCAGGTAAGAAGATACCAGCCCTAGATCCACCTGGTGCTCTGCACTCTAGAAAGGGAACAATATAAACCTGGTCCTGACCTCCAGGGTGGGGCAGGGATGGGTGTTGGGGAAAGGAGGCTGGCCCTGTGATTCAAGCGCAACTCCCCACCCCTACCTGTGCCCCATGGCAGGCAAGTAAGCACTGCCAAGCTTTAGGTCAGAAATCATCATCCATCAGCTGATGAATTAAGGACTGAACTCAGGAGCCAGTTTAGGGTGCTAGCACATAATATAAGATGGTATATACTTTGTGAAAAGTCAGGCACAAATTTGGGGGGTCACCTGTAACTGCAAAAATGCTACAAAAGAAGCTTATGAACCGCTTTAAATTGTTTTAAGCAGATGCCCCACTGTGAATTACATGTGCCTAAAATAACAATGTGTGAGTTTAAAGCTCTTTGGAAGGCTAAATATATCTTCTGTACAAGTTTGAAAGAACAAAAAATTGATAAAGAAATCTGCATTGTGTATTAAAACATAACCTTGTATAACCAAACATGGAAATCAAAAGAAAATAGTCTGACACATGGCAAGTTCTAAGGAAAACGTTTAAAAAATTCTCCCTTATCTGCTTAGTCTATTTGGACTCACTGTGTCTTTGAAGGAAACACATACTAAATCTAACTTATTGTCCATTTTCAACTAAGTCATTAGTTATTGTTCTTAGACCATAAAGTCTGTAACAAGTTATTATGACAAAACCTATGTCCTTTTAAAAATTACTCTGACAAGATTTTTAGGGACCACTTAAGATTCTTAACATTTGGGATAACAGATGCTTTTGACAGTCTTATGAAAATAATGGACACTCTCTAGAAGAATACACATGTGACCATAAATACAATGTTCCTCAACCTATTTTAGGTTTACAGACCTACTGAGGCCATCCACGGACCATCTAGAGATCCAGGGCTGCCCCTAACAACTCCTAGAAGAAGAGAATACTGCGTTTTGCTAAACATACAGTTTGAATCTTAAATTTCAAGGTTCACATATATGTGATTATTATTCCAATGTTATTTAGGAGAAATATAAATCTAACAATGAATTCCAACAGAATTTTATAATAGAGTCCTACATGTAAAATAAACTTACCTCAAAATTCACAGGCAAGTTCCGTTTAAGTGCAATCTCAAACACTTGACTTATTTCAGACTTATTGAGATTTTCTTCTTCTGATTCTCTTCCATTCACCTAAAAGAAAAATAATTATTTAATAGTTAATTCTTATTAAAACCACCAATATCCCAGCTGTGACAAACCTTAAAAACACTGAATCTTGGCTTTATGGATTGAGCGTCAAACCAGTGAACAAGGCCACACGCGTACCATGTGTCAGTGAATTTAAAAGGTTAAAAAAAAAAAAAGTGCTCTATCAAACTTGGGTAAGATTGCACCTCATAAATCCACCATAGACAATGCACACGTAACGGACCTTTGGGTATGAATGAGCCTAATCATGGCGCAGCGAGATGCCATGGCTGCTCAGGAAAGTGACTTCCAAAGCCCTCCTCAAGAACTGACAAAATACAGACAAATCTGTGTGGGACATGGCAAGTTCAAATATAAGTCTCTCTGCCTAAGTATGTAGGTTTCTTATCTGGACATGAAATCCCTGGAAACCACTTTTTTCAAAAGGATGCAGTGGAACTGCTATAAGATTGCCAAGCATATCACACTTACTGCTGCTGACAAAAATGCAAGGTGCAAACTAATAAAGTCTTCTGAACAAAGGCTGAGATATCTTTGTAACGAGGTTCACTTACAGTCCTCCAGCCAGGGCTGGGCCTAAAGAGCAACAGAGACCTCTGTGCATGCTGATAACATGATTCTATATTAGCATTCTATAGCATGCTGCCGTGATAACAGAAGAAACTAGATAAGCTCAGTAATAGTAATGTGCCCCAAAAACATGGCAAGCAAGCTGTGCTTTTCCTCATATTATTAGGGCTCTGTAGTCATAAAATTGTAAAATCCTACTTCCAAGATCAGAACTATCTGATAGGAACCTGTGGCTGAAACTGCTGAATAGGCAAGGTGTACAGGACTATCCAGGATTTCCTTACATTTTATAAGGAATATCCTACACCTACACTGGATCATTATTTTAAGATGAAATTAAAACTCAACGTTTTTAAAAAAAAGAATACAATCATGAATATAATCCTGTACAAATTCGTTTATCCCAGGCACTATTTATAATTCCTTCCCTCCCTTCTAATGTTCTTTCCAATCTGGTTTCATGTCACTCTCTGCCTGATCAAAACTATTTGAATAGTATTTCTTCTGGTGGCTTATTAAGCTAAACACTTCTATTCTTGTTGTTTGAATTCTAAGGAGAAAGAAGGCCTGCCATTTAATGAGTAAATCCTTAAAGCCAGAAATCTTCAAGCAAGGTACCTTATAAGGCATAGGTTTCACAGAGGTTTGGTTTGACATTTATTTGTTAAAATGATTTTAAACTAAAAAATAGCAATACTACTACTATATTTTAAAGTTAGGAATGTTCAACAAATGGTGCTGGGAAAACCAGATACACTAAAAAAAAATGAAGTTGGATCCTTACCTTACACCATATACAAAAATTAACTCAAGAAGGAATAAAGACCTAACCATAAGGGCAAAAATTATAAAACTCTTAGAAGAAAATATCGGGGAAAGCTTCATGACACTGGGTTTGGATGTAACACCAAAAGCATGGGCAACAAAAGAAAAAACTGGACTTCATAAAAGTTAAACACTTTTGTGCATCAAAGGACACTATCAACAGAATAAAGAAAACCTACAGAATGGTAGAAAATACATCTGATAAAGAATTAATATCCAGAACACGAAAAGAACTCCTATAAAACTCAACAACAACAAACAACCCAACTCAAAAATAGGAAAAGGATTTGAATACACGTCTCTAAAGGAGATAAAATGGCCAAAAAGCATGTGAAATGATGCTCAACATCAACTAGGGGAATGCAAATCAAAACCACAATGAGATACCACTTTACTCCCATAAGAATGGCCACAGAAAATAGTAAGTGTTGACAAGGATGGGGAGAAATTGGAACCCTTGTATGTTGCTGGTGAGAATGTAAAATGGTTGTAGCCCCTGTGGAAAAGTTCGGTAGTTTCTCAAAAAGTTAATATAGATTTCCAATATGAGCCAGCAATTCCAATTCTAGATATATACTCGAAAGAATTTAAAGTAGGGACTCAAACAGATACTTGTACACCCATGCTCATAGCAACGTTATTCACGATCGCTAAAAGGTGAAAACCCACACATCCATCAATAGATAAATGGATAAGCAAAATGTGGAATATTCATACAATGCAATATTACTCAGCCTTAAAAAGGAATGAAATTTTTAAACATGCTACAACATGGATGAACCTTGAGAACATTATGATAAATGAAATAAGCCAAACACAAGAGACAAATATCTACTTAGATGACGTATCTAAAATAGGCAAGTGCATAGAGATAGAAGTATAATAGAGGTTATCAGGGGATGGGAAAGAGACGGGGAGTTACTGTTTAATGGGTACAGAGTTTCTGTTTAATGGGTACAGGGATGATGAAGAGGTTCTGAAAATGACTAGTGGTGATAGTTACACAACACTGAGAATATATTTAATGCCAAAATAGTTAAAATGGTAACCTTTATATGTTATGTATATTTCATCTTAATGTTTTCTAAAGCAACAAAAAAGTATGTGTTTCACACCAAGTATTAACACAAAGAAGACTATCAACACATTAACTTATGCTAATTTAACCCACTTTTGCGCACAACAAAAGTTTTTGACAGTTATTTGAAGAGTATCCAGAAATTTTTTAAATAAATGAGCTTTAAAAAAATGGTCCATTTTCATGCTAAGTAACTGTATCAATGAGAATGTTCTCCTTATGTGTAACCAGAACAAAAGTGGAAATAAACTAGGAGATGAGGCTGATATAAAAGACATCAATGCCATGCAGGGACCCCAATTTTCACTTTTTTTGTTCATTATAATAGTCCAATTAGTTTTAACTTTTATTTTTAATTATGACCTATTTTAAACATACAAAAAAGTACAAATAATGTAACAGGCAACTGTGCTGGATTTAACAAATGTCAACATTGTGTACTATTGACATTAAACTTTTTTCCTTTTTAAGGAACACAACGAAGCCCTTCTCATTCTCCTCTCCATGGCAGAGTTAAGCACTATTCTAAAATGAGACTGTCTTTCCCACCATGTGGTGTTTTTTTTAATGGACAAAAACAATAAATCTGTGGTGTGAAAAAAAATCATATAAATTATTTTAACTGTCTTAATAAATACTATAAAATTCAAACTTTTAAGTTTACACTAATGAAATGTTACTTTTCTATTTTATATATTGAGGTTCCACATAAGTCTGATAGAAAACAATGGTCTACTGCTAAATCTAAACTCCAAGCCAGTGGCTCTCAACCACAGCAGCATTAGAATCACTTGGGAGCTTTACAAAGATAGCTGTCGGAGCCCTGCTCCAAACAAGTGAATAAAAATTTTTGCAGGAAGGGCTTGAATATCCATTTTACTTACAGTATTTGTTTTGTTTTTAAGTCCCCAGGTGATTTTACTAGCAACCAGAGTTGAGAATCACTGCTCTAAGCCATTGCTTCCAAAGGTATTTCAATAGGGACAAAGCAGCCAGTAAAATAAAAATGCAAAAGAGGAAACAAAGATATACATTTATTTGGAAGTGAGATTATGTTGCTCTTTTATATAAATAATTTTTATATTATCTGAATTGGACAAAATGTTGCAATGGGGGAAGCAGCAAATGACTCAAAACAAATCCACAAATACCATTCCCAGTAAGATGGGGAAAGTGTAGTATAGGCCCTTAGTCTTACCTTCATGAAGTGGGAATTACTGTTAACATCAATCCCATAGTGTATGGTTCAGCAATAAAATCTAGGCAACATTAAGAAAAGAAAAAAACACTCTGAACCATGCTTAACCCTCAGTATGCCAGGAAAAAAATAGTCATCACCATTTACCATCTGGCTCCAATAGACCCTTTTTATTTCTCTATATTCGAAGTCATTTTACAAATAATATACAGAATAAAGGGTAACAAAAATCATTTCAATAAGAATTTAAAGTAGCAAACCCAAGTTTTTATCCCAGGTTTGTAGTTTGGAAGGCATATGTACCTGAAATGGGCATGGTCCTTTTATGCCACTAACTGCTCATCAGCTGGCACACCTGAACCTACAGCAAAGCCCACTTGTAATGATGCCAGATTTTAAATCCACCTCCAATAGGTTATAGTTTATCGTAACACTGACTCTTTTTGTACTGGTTCTGTCAAAATACACTCTTGAGCCCAGGTGGCGACTGGCTCAGGAGTTGAGCATTGACCTAGAATCCAGGAGATGGTGGTTCGATTCCTGATCAGGGCACATGCCCGAGTTTTGGGCTCCATCCCCAGCGAGGGGGGGGGG